GAGATCCGAGCTCGCCATAATTGTGTTAGGCATCGGGTCGTGCTTTGTATTTATGCGATACAAGTTTTCGATTTATAGTTGTTATAAAGTAGATTCTCAGAGCGGATGATGTAAACTATGACCTCGGGAAAAGGCGTACGCCGAGTTTGTTCCAGACGTCAGAGGTTCCATAGCTGTGCGCTCAGATCAAGATTCTAAAACAAGATTAACAAAGGAGCAGCAAGACACTTGAATATTACCGCTAAACAGTGCTTAACATTTTGTAGTGAAACAGAGAGAGGTATGGAAAATTATTGGATTGAATTCATACTAGCTCTTGTTGCTAGAGTGAAATGTGATGCTAGCCATGCATTTCTAATGTGAAAGTATGAGTTAGCATGTTTTAGGTTATCTTAGTAGAATGGGTAATCCAGAATAAAATTGGAAACACAAGTCTGAATAGTGAGTGTATCACAGACTGATTGACATGTTCTCAGTCATAAAACGTTTGGTACAAGCAAAATGTTCTGCTTCAGAAACGTGGGTGGATTGACGTCGTCGGTCTCACCATCAATGCTTACTGGTCAGTACCTCCACACTCCCTCCTTTTTTGATGTTAAGCTCATTTGAGCTTTCTTTGGATATACACCATACATCACACAATGCTCTGTGTTTCACATCCTGCTGGAAAACACTATTTCTATAAGTTCCATTTTACAAGCTTACCAGGCAGTTGCAAATTATGGACTGAGGGAAACTCATCGATGCAATGCTTTAATTGACCATAATATGAAGTATAGATTGCCAATCGATGTGCAAGCATTAGGAAGGGTATAATGTGGGATAGTTGTTTACCAAAGTAGGCGGAAAAGTATAGGAATTTACGAGTTATAGATGAGGTAACGAGTGGTGAAATGAAATTAGTGGCAAATTAACGTAGTGTACTGGAGAGTAAAAACCTGATAGAGAATAGACAATTAGGACCTCACATTAACTTCGTGATGATGTTATTTTGCTCTACCCCAACCGGTTGATGGGTAACAGGTTCCATATATGCAAGACCACTGGTAGTAGGCAGTCGATTATGAGGTCCTCTTGACATTTTAGGGTAGTAGTGAGCGTCTCTTGGCGACCAAAACCAGTTGAGCGGCATTGATGAATCACCTGTCCACTTCAAGTAAAACAATTAAGGAGGATAAAGTATCTAATACAACTGCAGAGTAGGAAAGTATCCCAAACTGAACTTAGAGTCCAATTTGGTATATAAATGTAGAGAGCAAATATGTCAATAAGAGACTGACCAATTGTAGTCCGAAAACAACAACGGGCAGATACAAACAAACAATACCATATGAATTGAAATGTATACTGTTTAAATTGTCGGTCAAATGTTCTACTGAATAATCTACAAATAATCATATCAATAAACAAACTTCAATTTATACTCAGATATTGAAATACCTACTAATAGTCATTAGATTTGAGATGTGTCTCCTTTTAAAACTGTATTTTGCACAATCTATAATTTATAGGCTTAATAAACTTACTTACCTAAGCCTGTTACTTCTTGTGGAGGAGTGTAGACCGTCCACCGGCACTCTCTATCCAATCCTGTCCTGTACAATCCTTTTCAGTTATTTCCAGTTGTTATTCATCTTCGTCGTGTTTGCTTCCAATTATCGACTCACCGTGTTCTTTGGCTATCATATTTTCTGTTTCTCTTCAGGATCTCAAGTTAGGGCTTGCCTCGTGCTGCAGTTTGGTGATTTCCGTAATGCATGTCCTGTCCATTTCCATCGTCTTTTGCCAATTTCCTCTTGATCTGTACGCTGGTTTGTTCCCTCCCACAATAGGCTATTACTAATGGTATCCAGCCAATGGATGTTAGGTATTTTGCGTAGATAACTATTTATAAATACCTACACCTTCTGAGAGATGGTTATAGTTGTTCTTCGAGTTTCAGCTCCGTATAGTAGATCTGACTGTTTTGACGTTCGTATTGAAGATCGTGACTTTCATATTGGCTTGCCGATAGTTGTTTTGAGTTCTATATATTCTTCAATTTTAACCTTAATAAAAGTTTGAGAATTTTAATAAACAGTTCAAATTTACAAGAGAATTGTTCAATACTTTATCCTTCATGAAGTCATTATTGATCAAATAGAAACATTTAATACTATTGATAACAAAGATATTATATGGTACCGTGAATTAGTCGATGTCATTCAGGACTTCAAAGGCTTAAAAGGTAGTATTGCTGACTGTGAAAAATAATGTCGGTTTCGTTTAATATACTCCGCCTAGAGTCCCTCCGGGGGCTACTGCCGGTCCCAAGCCCGGATGAAGGAGGATGGTTGGGCATGGGGTTAGCATCCCCATCCCGTAGAAAACTAACTCGCTAAAAAAACGCTAACCAGAAAAAATTATTCGTTTAATATTCTGGATAAGGGTCAACAATCATTAGTCCTAAACTTAGTTCAGAGCCTCGATTCATGTAAAAGCTCTCCTCACTGATATTAAAACCGGTGTTTGTTCTTTTCTATGACATTGCTTTAAGCACTATGATACCTAGTATACTTATTCGTGTCTTGATATTCTGAAATCAAATGAATCACATATTATATACACTCCAGGTAATGTTAAGTTTCCAACTAATATTGATTTGCTCATATGAAACTAGTCAGTTATATGGAGACTATTAAATTATAAATTAGGTAGAGAATCCGTCCATTTGATGTAAACTGTAAGGTTCGAGAGTGTTGTCGATAAATAAGGGGTAATGGGAATCTACGATCCCGTCTTGCGAGGTTCGAATCCAGAACCTATCCATCTCGTGTGTGAGCACTTGACCATTAGACCATTGAGCCGAATCTCGCAAGGCAGCATCGTGGATGAGCACTGCTAAGGAGGAGTCCTACACTAGAACGAAACGGCCATCCAGTGCTTCCAGATTTTCCATCGTGGTCTATCTTCAATTGACTCATGTATTTAACTATTAACTTACTATAATATCCATAAAACCCCTCTCTGACAATAAGGGGTAGCTTTGCTGCTACATGAACTTATAGATCTCATGTCATTGAATAATACAATTTATTATTCTGTTAAATGTTTACCGTCATATCATGATATTTCAACAAGATCCTTGATAGGAGTTTAAGAGTGTAAAGATAGGACGTATGGGTTTGAGCATCCTTGGGTGTATTAACTCATCCCTGGCAAGTACTAACTTGCACAAAACCTAAATAAGGAGGTTCATGGAAGTCAGCTTGACACTGTTCATTTTTTCTTACTTGATTAAATGTAAAACAGATACAATTGAAGAAGACCAGTATGGAGATTCAGATGGTGAGATAGATGGTGATTATGAATATGACGATGGAGATGGAGATGAAACGGATGTTGAGAATGAAGATGGCTATGAAAATGAAGGAGTACTGAATGATCCACATTTCTATAGGAAAGGACATTATAAGAAATGAGGTAGGTTTCAGTATGATGTCTATTCGTAATAAAAACCCTAAATCTTATTCTTAACCCTAGCTATCAACTATAAATATTAATCTAAATTCCTCACAATGGGTTATTATCCTCATTTAGCCGCACTGCATAGCTTGACGTTCTCAAGGTCTTTTTAACGTCTCTCAAAGGTCATCCATAAAATTATAGTCTCAACGTTCTATTCTGCATTCCATAAAAGTGAAGTTAAATCAAGTCATGAGTAATATAATAACTACCAGTAGAGTTGGATGGTATAGGTTTATGTGATATTTGGTACTATAGAGGGTAAAAGTTCAGCTTATTGAACTAAAAATAACTCACCAACTACGTCCACGATTCAATGTCTGTCAATATCATGTGGGAATGTTTCAGAGGAATCAGAAACTAGAAAGATATAATCATACACTCCTTATTCATTTTCACAATACTTTACTTGATATCAATCCGCAAAAACAAAACAAAACAATATACATTCAGAATTCATGTTATATATTGGGGTAATATATATAGTAATAAATATAAATGTATAATTACGTTATCAATTAGGTCACAACCTTCGGTGCTACCTTGACGTGGTGATCAAGCTTGCCTATGGAAATGAACCAATCGAGCTATACTGGCTGAAACAATCGTTCCTCAAGGTTCTACCGCGCCAGACAGGTCTGTTGAAAAGCGGCAAGACTAAAAGCTGCAAACGTAGGGTCCGAAGGCGAAGTCGTACTGCTCACTGCACAGTACGGTGTTATCTTCAGACAACCAGCATAACAGCGATTCTGTCTTCCTACTAGGGGTAGGGTGTGCTTGGGTTAGAAAAGGTCGACCCTGAAATTACACACCTCGCCATATCCCAAGGATATCCGTCTCCGACGGTAAGGTCTCAATAAGTACGGAGCGAACACACAAACTACTCAAAAAGTGTTGTGTGCGATTGAACTCAATGAGTTGTCCCTTGGAGACAGAGGTCAAGCTTTCAGGTCAATAAGGCCACCTCAGTTTCCTTTTCAGGTACCTTCAGAAGAACCCTCCGACTGTATGGGCAACCGGGAAGGGATAACTACTCTCATACGTCTAACAGCACTTAAGATCACTGACTGACTAAGATCAATGCATATGACCTAGAGAAAAGGACAAACTGAATCTATTTAGCATTTCTACCGTATGTTATAATTAGGTTGTAGCTGTATTTTATAATAATACAACTGTTATCATTTATTTTAAAGAAAATTGACTATCAAAGGGGGTTTTTGTGGATATTATAGTAATTTCAATAGTTGAGATCATGAATCAATTGAAGCTAGACCACCATGGTAAATCTGGAATTACTGAACGGCTGTTTCATCCTATTGTTGAACTCCTCCATAGAAGTGCACATCTACGATCCCGCCTCACAAGATTTGAACCATTCAGTACTTCCAAGTTTCCCATGATGGTTCAGCTTCAATTGACTCATGATTTCAACCATTGAAAATTGAATGATATTTATTTGATTTAAATCTTTATTTGGTTGTATACTTTTATAGGTTTTTATATATCTGGGCAAGACTGATTACCGACTAGTCAGGATTGTATCTTTTAAAATGTAACAACTAATAGTTTGAAATGATAAAATAGTACAATAAATGAATTTGCATTGTTCTTTGTTTTATTCATTTATTATTTCCATTTATCATATACAAACAACTAACGAATCACTACCGATTTTTATGTATAATTAAGTCGGAAGTACAGTGTTATTGTTTGTAAAGATTGTGAGTAAGACCACTATCAATCACTGGCTGCTTAGACTGAAGTAGATGGGGTGGGTTGGCGATTTTGAACTGATTACAACATAGTGTCTATAAGCAAAGTAATTTATCCACTAGACCACTTGTTGTGACTTTAAGTTCAACTAGTTATCATGTAACTAATTCACCAATCGAAATACGATTGGTTCACACTTGTACTGTACTATAGCAATGACATTCGAACAGTATGACCAACTTAGCGTCCTTATTAGTCATTTGTTCTTCTGTGGTGTATACTACTTATATTGACATAAGTAGTATATGATATTAATCGTAAACAGAAGGTCTGGAAGCAGACAGACATGAGTATCGAACACTTCTGGCTCATCTACTTGAGTCCAGAACATCAATAAAAGCTGCCTACTATGCGAATTGTTTATTTCAATCATGCTTGGTTTATATACCAGACAAACAGAGCATATCAGATCATAAAATAGAAAATAACATCTACACAAGATCAAATCATAAAGTGACTGTGAACGTAGGAGACTGTAATTAATCGATTGAGTATAAATTAAGAATAGTAAGTTGGATCATAGTAGTCTATGGGTCAAAATGAAGCCTCTAATAAGATGAATATAAATAAACATGGAAGTCATAAAGAGAGAGCCATCAAGTTCATATTTATGTACGTATTAGAAGTAATTTAAGAAGAAAAGTTGGAATATTCCTAAAATGTGGAAAAAACCATGGTACTTAATTGACTGCCTTTATACTACTGACATTTGTCAGTCTTTCAAAACTATTAACAAATAAAAAAAGTATTCAGCTTCCTGACGCTCGACCTAAGCAATAGTGACTAAAACATTCATGTTGAATTTATGTGTTCAGAAAAACACAGTTATCAGTATCTTAGTAAACTCACAATTGTGAAACACTAATAGTTGTTCATATTAAAGTCAATACAGCTAGAGCTGATGTGATTCAGCTAACAAACTCAACATTGAAATGAAACTGAAATACATTTGCGTAAATGCCCATTTGAAATGATAATGTGTACGGATCAAATAGTTCTCACTTTTTATTACATATACCTCCAAACGCCCTGGTATTGGTGATAGTGAGGAGAGTTAGCTCACCCTCTCGAAATGCTCTGAATTAGCCATGTGCATACAACCACTGCCAGAGAAGTTCTACTCACTGCCTTCTCGCGGCATTACTGTTGTTTAGGGAATTGAGAGGACGAAAAGTGAATGTACGGAGCTTTAACCAAGTTGGTGGATATGGAGGATCCAAATAGAGCAGTTGGAAAACCCTGATTCAAAACCAATAGTGTACATGCGATTCAGGATCCTGGTGGAACAAATGGCGTATGAACCAATTGTTGATGACCGGCTACCAACGAACATTGCTCCACTCCCTTATGCATCAGACCTTCAGGTCAGAGGTCCGAGTGTGGTCCCTCTAAGAAAACCATCTACTTCGGTTTGGGCACCCGGGCAGTATCGCAGCCCCTATCTATATCTGTTTGGTGCCTTCTTGTACTAATGTTTATGTGTTCAAATAAATAAATAAATAAATCTTCAATATATTTCACTACATATATCATAAAATGAACAATGTAATTATGTAACTATTATATAACAGATAATTACAGATAACAGTAATAATAATAATAACAACAATGTGTTTTGTATTTTTAACTAAGTAGTTGTGAACTTATCTCCATAGGCTTGTAGCGTGGAGTCGAGTTGAGATTAACTGTGAACACCACTACCAAGAAACACGTGCCAAGTAGATCAGAAGGCGTAGGTTGAACGTAACCAAAGAAACCCATAAAATCCCCGAGAAGCCAAATACCAGAAGGCAATTAATGGACCAAATCGAGATATTTATTTGCTGGCGATCTCGTGGCTTGGTTACAGAACGTAACCAAATTCGCGCGAAGTTACAATCGAAAGTGTGAGTATAAGAATGAAAGCACAAAGTAGCTGTCATTAGCACAGACAAACGAAAGCACGTTAAAACAAACACTGGTACAGTTGGTTATAATAATAATTGTTTTTATTAAACCAGTCGTGTTCTCGTGATAAATGTGAGTCACTACAGGCTCTTACTAAAAAAACTATTCAAGATTTATATCAGTCCATCAAGTTAATTTATCCAAAAGACGTTATATCTAGAAGTTTGTCCTTGATATACTGAGTATAACGTGAGTACTAGAACGCCAGAACCCTTCCAAGTAGCAATGAGAAGAAAGGTGACTAATGAAAGCAATATTATTCTCAGACAGTGTCAATTATAGTATAAAATTGTCAGGTATTTATAGTTTTTATTAGGAACAAAAACATCATTGCATTCCATCAGGGGGTTATTAACATTGTCCAATCAGGAAGCTACACATAAGAACTCTAGAATATTCTTCCAAAAGGTGATTGGATAGAATATATTCAAGTACTTCTGAGCCTCCTACAGCTTCCTCGAGTTCACCTGTGTTCCATCGTCACAAAAGATATATGAACAATGAACATTGTTTGACTTTTAAATAATCAAATATTCAATACGAAACGGTACCGGACTTATTGCCCTATTCATCATTCCTCTCTCTCGCTCTCCCTCACTAAATTTCATTCAATATTAAAACAGAATATCTTGATATTGTGACAAATTTGCTTTTGTATATTTTAGCACCATATTGGTATATTACTGAAAACAAAGGATAGATTCTACACTGATTACAAATATTCTATTACTCGGTGAGACTGTAATTTATGGACGAATCAATCAGATTTACGATAATAGGTCTCGGAATATGGAGCGAAATTCCCTCATTCATTTGGCTAAATAGCGTTTTGGCATTTTAACTGATGTTAGTTCGTGATGAAAACTATAAATCTAATCCTTTTCTCGAATCATTAACTATGAATCACAAACCTTATCAGTCATACAAGTTTACACCACATTGGTAAACATGCTCCTTACATTTTGGTGGAGTTTTGTTCACTGAGCATGATTGTTTGGTCGTGGAGCTTTCATCGTTCTTCTGAACGACATCATCAGCACAAACTTCAGATACAAGTGAAGTGTTCGAATTACGCCACATGTGTTTCACAGCTTGTTATGTTCACCTCGATGTTGATTGGTACGTGTGAATCTGTTGGAATGTTATATGTTCGGAGTGAGAGTTGAATTGAACTCGAGTCTCTAAGAAGTAGCTCGAACACAAATAACCTAACATCTTATCTGTGTAAACGTGGGTGCAAACCAAAAGATATTGCATTTCTAATGTGGGATGACATAATTTACGACCGTTCTATGGATATATGAGAAATATTTAGTAACCATTTGACAAAGCTCAATGGACAGCGACCTGATCACCTCAACAATACAACACTTTCATCCAGTAAATGTGAAAATGCATCATTCGGTGCTAAAGTGTGTATGGAGCAATCAATTGTCTTCAGACTACAACAGGTATAGAAACTGACGGTATCCACCTTGTATTTCCTAAACGATGTAATGACGCACCACTTATACATCTTCACATATTTCACATGATATCAGATACAGACGTATACTCAAGTAACTGGAACACCTGCTACATTGTCACGCAATACAACACTGGGAAAAGAGAGAACTCTACTTATTACCGATCGACGAATATCAATCCAGTCATTTCACGAATCACAGAGAGTGTTGTAATGTACAGTGTCTAAGATTATTTACTAAATCGGAAACATATTGCTAGATCACAAGGTGATTTCTTAACAGGAAGGTCGTGGATGACATTGCACTTTGAGGTCTCTCACCGCATAGCATAGCACAATCCCATGAAATAATACAACATAGTGCAATCATTTATTTTGACATATCTCACACATTTTATAAAGCATCCAATCGTATTTCGTATTAAAATTTGCATCAGACTGAAATCCAAGTTGGCTTATTCACACAACTCTCATCATTCAAAGATGGAGACAGTGGAGATGTCGATGGGTGAGAAGAAGTAGCACAGTTGTCAGCATACACATCACACTAGACAGTCATTCAACACTGACGACTTGTGACACAGATGTGTGAATACACAAAACCTAGTAACAACAAAATGCTATTTCTGTTCTCCAAAGTCAGTTATTAGATCGTCAATCAAGAAAAGCAACAACGTAATTCACTCATGTTTATTTCATTTCAATTCAATATCAAAAATACACAAATGTGTTTACTGTAACCAGTTTAATAAAACAGACGAACAAACAGTCTTCAGAACTCGTCATGATACCTGAAAACAAAATGAGAGAAGGATACACGATGATTCAGTACAAGTAAAATGTATACTAGACTATGATTAAGTTCAATTGAATTACATTGACAAACTAGTCGAACTGAGTAGCATTCATCTTGTCAAGTGAAATTAGTGTTTGAAAGTTCGAAGTATCACATTTTCACTTGATCGGAAACTGGACGTTTGTGTGTGTGTGTGTGTGTCTGTGTGTGTAATAACAGTTCAGTTCGTCCGTGGTCCAACCAAATGCGACGATACGTAAATACATACGATTCGTAAATTCCCGTTGACTATTAGGAAGATGATAATCGGACGACATATCGTGTCCTTGAAATGGATTGATAGTTAACTGATGACTGTATATTAGTAGGATCAGTTCAACAAAGATTACTTACCGCATTCAATGACGTGCCTTCTCATTATTTAAGGCATATATTTATCTCCCAGTCGACGTGGACCATGATGATATGTATAGTATTTAGTGTGATCATCCTTGTCATCACCATTATGACCACCACTTTTATTAATATTGATATTAATAACAATGTTATTATCATTATTATCAACACTTTCATTTTCTATCTTATACTCAGTTCTGTTAACTTGTTTTTTATCCAATTTGTCTGTTTTATTATAATTATGTTCTATCGTTTGATTCACGACGAAGATCGGTCCCAATTCGACTTTTCTGTCATCATCACCTGTGTTTCCCAATGGCGTTT